GTCTAAGGCACTTGGGAGTGGTGGGGACTATAGCAAACTGGAGAGCAAATACCGCATACTCCCTATAGCAAAGGTCTCTCTTATATAAAAATAAATAAATAAATAAGCTGTGAATAGGTCTTTGCAAATATTTCCACACAGTGAAAAACAACTCAGTTCAATGCTGGTTGAATGAATAAATTTAAATTCTATTGCTTGCAGCCAAAGGCAGGCAACACTCTAGTCTTAGGAGAATCTTTATGGTATTGGTCTTGCTGTCCCCATTTTACAGATGGTGCAATCTCTCATTCTCAGGCATTTCAGACCCCACCTTGTGCCCAATCCCCACATTCCATTTCAGCACAACCCTTACTGATTTGTGCCAGGCCCCTCCCGGCTTCCTGCATGCAGCCTACTTCTCCCTTGACCCTTGGCCTGAGTCTGCCTTCTGGGCCTGGCCTTGGCATGACCAGCAGCCCCTGATGTAAGCACACTCCCCTTGTATCTGGGGGCTGTGGGCTTCAGCCACCATCATCTTGGCATGCCTAACTCATGGCAGAACCAGGCTCCTGCCCTTTGCCCTGGGGTCTAGAGAGACCACTACTAATGAAGATCCCCTGATCCATAAAAACTCCTGATGCTCAACCCCTGCTTGTTAAGACCTTATAGGCTTTAAATATTACAGTCCAGAGAGTGCAGTTACCTACGACCCTGCTTGGGTACAAACTCACCTGGACACTCAAGTACTTCTCAGCTTGGATGGCCAAATAGTATGAGAACCAGCTTCCAGGTCTGTAGACAGGCTGGCATTCCAGGGTCCACACATCATCCCTTATGAAGCTGGCTAAGGGAGTCTTCCTGGTATTGGGAAAAATCACAGTGATAAAAACAGAAATAATCTTTTTGTTTTTAATTCCCAGATTCTATATGTGCTCACGAGAGAGAGAGAGAGAGAGAGAGAGAGAAGCACCTCCCCTGCAATCATACGTGGTCACAGTGCAATCCCTTTTTCTCCATCTCTATTCTGTTGGAATCTGGCGCATACACACGCACATACAGACACGGCACCCAGTGTGTTTTTTATGCTGCTAAGGCCAGGATTCAAACTGCTATCAGCCACATGGTATGTACTTCCCCGAGCTATTAGGCTGCAGGGCTAGCCCTAAAAGTAATCATAACAGTCATCTACATTAACTCCTGTGAACTACTTGAGGCAAGGAACTTTTGTTTTATGTGTCTCCTTTGGCCCTGTTCCTGTTTAAAAATACCTGGAGCCTGAGTATTCCCAGGGAATTCAGGCACATTGTCCAAGCCCCACAGCAAGTGAGATTGCTGACCAGAGCCAGGACTCCTGGCCTCCCAGTCAGGCCCCACCTCTGATAAAGCCAGCACTAGGCTACACTGAATGGAAACCCTCGAGTCATGTACTTTTAGAGACGAGCCTAATCCACATAGAGCTCTAAATGCTAGCTCTCCTGGCAAGTCACTTGGAGGGCTTGGGGCTGCAAACTGAAGGATTTACACTAGGAGTCTTTATTCATCCAACAAGTATTGACTTAACTAATTTATCACTGTGTGGTGAGATATGCAAAGATCTCATTACAACATTTTTGTGGAACCTATCAGAGGTCTCTGAAAAGTAGGAGGATTGAAGGGCATTGTGTGTTTCCATGGCCACCCAAGGATGGATAGTTTCAATGGACCTGTAAATTGGCTGATCCAGGCACTGGGTGATGAGGTAAAGGTCATATTATTACCTGCTCTGTCCCCCAAATCTGACCACCCCTACCTGATCCAAGCCACCAGCACCTCTGAGCTGGATGACTACACTGGCCTCCTCATTGTTCCCTCTGTTCCCATTCTTACTGCAGCTCCAACCTTTCACAGTAACCACGGAGGCTCTTGAAAACAAATCTGAGTGTTTCCCTTCCCTGCTTTTAACCTCTGCACTACTCTTTTAAGAAGCATTTCACTTCACAGATTAAATTTTTCTCAATAGAAAAGATAAAGCATAAGATCCTTTGCCATTAAGAAGTCTCTCCCCAAAGGTTATCATAAGAAAATCTTTGAGATAAAACCAATTTAAGAGGATGCTGCTCCTAACTTGCTTTTTTCTTTTTCTTTTTCTTTTTTTTTTTTTTCTAATAAGCACTAATTGAATGATGCAGCAAGCAGGTCTGCTTTATGGAGACAGTCTGCTATTATGCCAACTAATTTTAAAATGTATGGATCTTATTGCTTCAGACCCAAGGCCATATTGATTCTGGAATATGCACCACTAATTGCTGAGAGCCTGATGCTAAGAAGAGAATAAAAGAAAAAACTTTCATGTCAATATTTGTTGCTAACCTTGACAAATAAACATTTTAAGTGATGGTGACTTTTTCCTCTTTTAAAGCTTTAATTACTGGCTTGCACACACTGCAATCATTTTGTTCTTGTTTGTGTTTAATAGTCTGTAATCCATTTTAATTACATTCTTTGCTTATCAAGATTAGACTCCTGAACAAGAGTAGAACAAAATTTAACTTCTCCTTTTTCTCCCCTCTCTCCTTATCTGTTGCCTGAAAAAATGTTCTGGGATTTGAAAACATCTTAAAGATAAAACTTTCTGTTCAGCTTAAAGCAAACAAATGAAATCATTAAAAGGAAATTTCCAGTGTTTTCAGTCTGTCAACTCAGGAACCAAAAGGGTTGATCACACTTGCATCCCTACATTAAGCCTGGAAAGTGGAATTTGTCAAGAATTTTGAGAAGGTGTAAGAGAAGGGGTGAAGGAGACTTCTGGGGTGCAGAAAAGGTTCTCTTTCATGACCTGGGTGGGGAGTTCAGGGGTATTTTGTTTCAAAACAACTCATTGATCTGTGCATCTTTCCACAAATATTTACATTTCCATAAAAATGTTATTTAGAACACTGAACATGGCTGGGTTTTCAGAATTTTTCTGGATTTTTTTTTTTGGTTGTTGTTGTTTGTTTTATTTTTTACTACGAGCAGTCACTTAAGGCAGCCAAGGTCTTTTTTGTAACCACTGATGACTAATACTTTCATTGTTTATATCTGTGTTTACAAGAGCAGGAATTATAAGGAACAATGCCTGTGGTACAGAAAGATCATCAGAGATCTCTTGTTCTTACTAACCATTCCAGTGTGGGAGCTGCTGGTCAATGAGAGACCTTCCTACGCAGTGATTCAGGGATCAAGCCTCACTCAGCCCTCAAAGCAGATCCGGCAAATCTCGGGCCAACTCAAAGCGAGAGTCAGAGCAAAGATTGTCCATTAGAAGAGTCTTGCACTGGGCAGAAGTGGCCAGATCTAGGAACTCCACCATACTTTGTCATTGGCTGAGGGGAAGAAGTGTGGTTTCAGCTTTAATGCTAATTGCAGTCTATGCAGCAGAATGGCAGTTATTTCTCGGAAGGTGATACGAGTTCACCTTCATGACTGTCACAAATCCTCTATGATAGGAGGAGAAACACTTTTTAAAATTGGTGTAAGTCCCTCTTTCATAGAGGTGGAGGCCAGACTTGAACTTGACTCTGAGTGGACTTCACCCAAGTGCTTAGTTGACTTTCACTGCCCTAGAGCAGTCCTGCTGCCTCATTATCTCTGGGCCACTGTGGAGCATTTAAATTTTATTTCCAGCACTCATTCTTTGGCTTTGTTTTGTTGTTGTTGTTTATTTGTTTCCCTGATGAAAGACCTCATTTCGTGTGGAGATCCAAATCTCCCCAACTCTTAGCCCACGTGGTTTGGTTGTGCCTCCTTATCTCCACCACTCCAATTCCATGGTTAATCCTACCCCTAGTAGGAGTGAAGGTTTCAACATTGGGCACATAGCTCACCCAGTGACTTCTGCTAGGCCATTTGGGCTAGAAACAATGACTTTGAGAGAAAGCTGGCCTGGAGTGTGCAGCCATCTTACAACCATGAGGGGAGAGCTTGAAGCAGTTAGAATCACCATCCTGAGGATAAGGGTAAAACCAACATGGTAGAAAACAGTCTTTCTCAATGACTTTATCCGAGCACGAAATCTATGTGTCTGAACCCAGACCTGGGTCCTCAGTTACATCTGCCAATAAATTCCCTTTTCATTCAGGCCAGTTCAGTTGACCTTTTGACCATCTGAAGTCCAACCATCATATTCCAAACACAACTAATTTGGAAATATTTATTTTCATTTTATTTACCAAAGTCCCTAAAGTCAACTATCAAATCAGTCCCAGATGGTTCATTAACATCACCAAGTGCTTTCAAAATAAAAAACAGTATTTTTGTTTTTAATTAAATCCACACAGGAAAGTTCCTCATCCTTACACTCCCCCATACCCATACACACACACACACACACACACACACACACATACAATTAGTATTTCAGAGCTCCCACCTACATTTTATTGGGGATCTCCATTGGAGAAAACACTGAGTGACAGAGCTGTTCATAACTCTATTTCCCAAATGGACTCTGGCTCTTGAAAGGCAGGGACTTAGAGTATTCCCAGAGTCTAACATAGAGCTCGGCAGAAAGGGGAGGTCCAACCAAACTTCTCCTTGACAATGCCAAGCTGCTGTCCCCAGCCATGAGGTAGAAAGACAGACGCCTGTCTGGCTGTGTGTGTGACTCATCAAGTTCCCGCAGAGAGGTCATCTGGGGCCTCCTTGGAAGTGAGCCAGCAATATAATTGGACAAACCAAGGCCACCTGGTGCAGACGCCCAGTCTCCTCAGCCATATGCCCCTCTCTTCCATTACCTGGCCTTCCTTTTCTCTTTCAAGTTTCTTCTTCCTTCTACTTCATTTCTTTCCTTTCCCATGTCTCCCCACACTTATCCCATGACTACCATAAACAGGGGGGTGCTCCCTGGGCCTGTGTACTCTTGAAGTGGTCCTCAGGGATGTGCTGAAACTAGTACCACATGGCAAGACATGTGACACAGCAGTTCCAAGAGAAGACTAACTTACATGAAGATGGATTTAGCAACAAGAACTCTTCAATCTGGAAAACAAAGGCTTTTGGGATTATTCGTTACCTGTTTCATGAAACAAATTGCCCAAGACATAATGGCTTAAAACAATATTTATTATTTTTCACTGGAAGGGTACAAGGATCAGGAATTTGGACAGAGCACAGTGGTGTAGCTTATTGCTGGCTCACAACGTCTGAGGCTACAGCTGGAAAACTCTGAAGCTGGCGTTGGAACCATCTGAGACCTTGTTTTCTTACGTGGTTAGAGGTTGATGCTGGCTGTTGGCAGAAACCTTAGCTGACGCAATTGACCGGAGCATCGATGTACGGCTTTCCCAAATGGCTTGGGCCTCCTTATGACATGGTGGCCGGGTTACAATGGTAAGTATCCTAAAGAGAAAGAGCTTCTTAGCACCTCCCGTACCTTATCCCAGTCCTTAGCCCCATCCGAAGTTCACTACAAACCCATGGACAGAGTTCCTGGGTCTCCTAAGAAGCAGCGTATCTGAACCCCAGTTCAGTGAGGGCAACGAAGCACCCATAGTCATCTGGGAGAGGCCCTTAAAGCCTTGGGATGTGTATTGGAATCCTGGTTCTCTTTCACAGAGCTGTGATTTCAGAAAATTCATTCCATTTCTTTTGGTCCCAGTTTGTCTGTAAAACAAATGATATCACACTGCTTTTCTTGGGATCATTGGAAGAGTTATGGATATAAAAGCACTTTGGCAATGGCAGAGTACTGCATAAATGTTTCCTATTATTATTCATTTAAAACAATAATATAATGATTATCATGTATAATTAAATGGTGGGAAAATATTAGGGTGATTATTTCTAGATTTCTTCTTCTCTGCCTATTTGTTTTCCACATTAAAATAGTTCATTTAAATTGTTTAAGGGCTCATGTTGCAAGGAGTAAGCCAAGCACAGGCTTTGATTCTGTGAAACCACATTCGCATATTAAGAGAAATGGAATGTGTGATCCATGTACAGGGGTGAAAACTAAAGGCTCACATCATAGATCTTTTAGGTCTCTACCTGCCTGTTAAACTCTGCTTTTTTCTCACTTCCTTCTTAAAAAGGAAATAAAATCTCACGTCAGGAGAGAGAGCATACTAACTCCATAAAGGAAAGGAAAGAGATGTCGGGGAGAGAGAAATAGAAAATGCACATGGTGGGGTTGGAGGGCCACCAGTGGTGTAGAAGTAAAGATGGCTGGATCCCACATGGCCGACCATGCAGTTCAAGTCCCAGATCCAGTGACTTGAAAAACATACTCTGTGTGAGTTTGCCCAAGATCCCAAGAGGAGAATGGAGGAGAAGGAATTATGGCATGGCCAATCCTTCTTGGGAGTGCTTTCTCACTTTCCCACTCTCTCTATATCTATCTATCATCTATCTATCTATCATCTATCTATCTATCTATCTATCTATCTATCTATCTATCATCTATCTATCTATCTATCTATATCTATCATTTCTGTCTGTCTCTGACAAGTGTACACACCCTATAGTAAAAATTTTAAAAAGAAAGAAAATGCACATTAGAATTTTGGGGGTATGGAAAGAGAGAAGGTTACCAGGAATTATGATAGATTATGATCAGACTCAATCTGTGAGGTTTTCCAAGACATGCAAATATAGAATTTTAATTACATTTTAATTACTTTTGTATGTTGGAGCATGAACATAGTGCCATTCTTAATCTGGACCACAAGAGTCTCAAAAAGCATAGGAAAAATAATAATGATGATGATGATAATAATAATAATAATAATAATAATAATGGCAAGAATGGTCAGTAAATTCTGCCTCCCAGCTCAGGATGTTTAAGGTATATACAAGGAGATGGGATGAATTGCTCAGAACTGGTGGCAGTCACTGCAAGTTTTGCAGAGTGACATCGTAAAGCTGATAACCCTGCAGTGCTAAGGAGGAACCTTCAGTCTCAGTGTCCACCTGGGCTTTTGCACTGGCCATGAGAACTCTCAGGGTGATGTTGAAACAAACACAGTTTAAACCTTTTTAAAACCATTGGAGATAATGGGACATTTTAATTAAAGGAAAAAATCATTTTTACTGGACTGTTTTTATTTTTGAGCTTTTATTTAGTTCAAAATGGTATTTTCTGAATTTACAGTTTACTTTATTCATGATCAAGAGTGCATATGTGCACATGATAGAGAGAAACAGAAAGAGAAACAATCTTACCAGGGTCTTGCCACACTGTGACCCTTTTTCCCTGGTCTTCCAGCTTCTCAGGATCTTGGGCACACCCCCCAAGGATCTGAACCCACTGTCAACCGTGTGGCTTCCAGCACTGCAGCTCAGTTTTGCTACTGACTGTGCCACCAGGCTGGGCCAAGATGGTATTTTAACCCATTGCTACCACTATTATCAAAATTTGGACAAGTTTTCTCACAGGTGAACTATGGACCAAGGTCCAAATGTCTTCAAAGCAAAGGAGGGATATTTGGGAGAATAGAAGAAGAAATGGCTGAATGTTTCCTCAGCCTCTTCTTAGAGGCACTCCCAACTCTGCCATTGTGTCACCGCCACATTTCAAGAAAGGGCATGGCCCAGCCTTGCTTGGGAAATAAACTAAAAGTAACCTCTTTTCCTGAGTTAAAAAAGCTCAGGAAAAGAGGTTACTTCCAAAGATGGAATTTTAATTGCATTGTCTGAGCTGTTAGATATTAGACCATATTCCAAGAGGTAAGTCCTTTTGATTAAACATCTTTATCATTTTGGTAAACTCTTTGGTTCTTTGCCATCAATGTCTTAAACAGACCCCAAATTTCCCCAAACTTCAAAACAGGGAGGTTCTTAGACTAACATTACAGACCACTGTGAAGTTACATTTCTCCCTGCTAAATTTTTCTCCTTCCTGAGGTCTTCCTTCTCAGGTCAGTGCCTCCTGGCACTTTGAAAACTCTAGTCAGTACCTATTCCTCACTCCATCTGATCTACTGCCAAGTTCAATGACCCTACCTATGAAATAGTTCCCAATCTACTCCCCACCTTTCCTTTCTCACAGCTCTAGTTCAGGCTATTGTCCATCTCACTGGGATTCCATGAGGGCCCCCTGGTATCCAAGCTCACCTTTCAGGCCACAGGTGTTGCTGTGGAGAAGATCACATCCACAGCCAACTACGGTGAAGAGTAGATAAGGAGGTGAGCTGCAGATGAGCGGCGAGGGGAGAAAAGCCAGCAGGCCCTCTCTTTCCCAGTGCAGGCAACACTCCGAAGTCAGCCTAAGCTACGTCAGGATTAGAGTTGCAGTGATGCTCTGTAAGGGTGGTCACATAGGAAGGTTCTCTCTTCAAGTCTGGAGACCTCCCAAGTACAACAGGAGCATTCTTGCCCATGATCTGGCTGAGGTTGAGGGTGCATCTCAGTGACAAGAGCCTATTGGGGGTGTTCTTTCTCTTTTCTCTTTTCTCACTTGTTCATGGGAGAAATAGATAAACAAAATTTAAGAAACAGCAACAGAAGATCAGGGTTGTGTTGGATGGCTTGGATAGAGAATTCTAATTGCCAAACTTGGGGACTATGCTTGAAACTTACTGTCATTGTAGCACTTTATTATTCAAAAGTAAGCATAAAAGTTAAGGGGCCTACTAGAGTATGTAAGGGAAGTTACTTATTAAATAAAGTTTAGAGGGATGTAGGAGACAAAAGGTAAAGATTTTGGAAGATCGAAAATAATGTTATTCAACATTCTGACTATCCTTTTTTTTGTTTTTTTTTGAGAGTTATTTTATTCCTTCATTTATTTGCTATAGGGCATGTGCACTCATCAAAGAAACAGAAAGAGACAGAGAGTGAGAAAGCGCCCCCCCCCCAAGGGTATGGGCACACCACAATCGTTCTCCTCCATTCTCCTCTTGAGATTCTGGGCACACACACTCATGCGCTTGGCATGAGTTTAAGCCACCAGGTCCATGACTTGAATTGTGGTCAACTACATGGGAGTCCAGTGACATAACCACTATGCCATCTGCTGGTACCCCCACACTATCTTTAAGACTGAGCTTCCCAGCATTTTTCAGGAAAAAAAGCTTTCCCATGTATCTTTTTTTTTTATTTATTTTTTATCATCATATCTTCTTCATATTACATTGGATTACATATAACTTTACTGTGTATTACACTGTTTCTTCAAAAGGGAATGCCATGCACGTCAGTCAGTACAGAGACATTAATCTCCCCACTTCAACATTCCATATCTTTTCTGTTTTCCCCAATCATTATCTTTATTATTCTAATTATTTTTATAAAACAGTCAATTGCTATTTCTCGTTTTGCTTGTAAAAATACTTTGCCCATCATGAAACACTTCTCAGACCAATCCAGTTGAGAATTCTATACATGTCATCATCAACAGTTAATAAACCCTATCTGTTTCTCACTGACGTCCTGTCTCTCTATTGCTCACTTGCTATCTTTCTCTATCCTCTTCTCTTCACTTACCCCATTCCACACTGTCCTATTCTCATTAAGTACCTTCACTTCAAGAATGGTAGAGTAGTTCCTGTTCTTCCCTGAGGCAATGCAGGGCTGGTAACCATCATCTTCTCAAGTTGCAAGTTCTCAGACCTTGTTTTCCGCTTCAGCCTGCTGATCCACAGGCCACACGCCGGCCCTGGAGAGGCAGCTGAACGCCGGGGCATGAGCCCCGAG